TGATCACACCCAAAGTCCAGACGGAAAATCACAGGCTTCCATTTTTGGGCAGGCTCTGCAGGGTCACATACAAAATGAGTGGATGCAGAGAGGAGGGAGGATTCAGGTCCTCTAACACTGCAGCCTCTACTGTGCTTCCGGGGGTCAATTTCAGGATTTTTTTCCCAATCCTCTCTTTCAAAATGAGCTGTTCCCATCCTCTCTCTGTATACCAGCTACTTCAAGAAAATGGCATAAAACCATACAAAGAGGAAATAATAAGTGAACAATAACACCAAAAAAGGTGACATAGCAAGGATTCAGGTAAATTGCTGGTACCCAGTTGAACAAACAGCAAGTTTGGGGAAAAAACAGAGTCAGGAATCAGAAATCCTGCCACATGGTCTTAAGTAAAGAAGGCCTCAGCTTTCTACTCTGGTGGGCAGAGGTAATCCCCCCATCTCATACAAATCATAACAGTACTTCCCCTTGATAGGAGCCGGTATTAGAAAGTCTATGCTCTCTGTAGATTCTCAGGACCTACATAACCACCGCAAGTGGCCATCTTAGCCCATCCAGGATACTATAACAGAAATACCATAAGCTGCATTAGCTGGTGGCCACATATGGTAGAAAGAGTGGGCAGCAACCCAGCATCCCCTTTGTCAGGCGAGCATGCTAACCTCTACACAACAGAAACCCATTAGGGTCCCTTTGGTAAGGGCGCTAATCCTACTCTTGAGGGCAGAGCCTTCCTCATGATCTTCCTTTTAATACCATCACCTTAGCATACGAATTTACAGGTGAAACAAAATGCAGATCATAGCACCATGGCCGGGTATCATAGAACTCATCATTTTCTATCTTACATCCCAGTTTCACTAGTGTGCTTTCTCTAAGAAAAAAAAAAAAAGCCCTATAGTAGTTGGGCTCTCCTTCAAATAAAGAATGTAGTCTTAACCATCTCCACTGTCCCCAGAAAAGAATGTACAAAAGAGACATTTTCCTAATTGAACTGAGGAGTAACCTCCACTATGCATAATTTTTAATAATTTAATATGTATTTTTAAACTTCCAAATAAATTCTCTATGGAAGCTAAGTCATTAGGTCCCCAAAAACAAATTAATCAGGTAGTCCAAATTTTTTTTTAATTTTATTTAAGGAGAAAAAGAAAAAAAAACAGAAAAAGGATGTAAGTTATACAGAATTTCAGAAAAAAATAAACAGTAGGAAATCACTAGTTAATAGATTACATATTGTCATCTTAGAAATTGTTCAAGTTACAAAATTAAAGCATATAAAGTGGACATTCAAACAGTGAGGCTGCAAATAGCTCTGTTCAATGATCCAACAAAACTCAGTAATATGGTTATCTATTTTATACACTTGAATATACATGCAGTTATGTCCTTTAAAGCACTTTTTTTGCCTCTCTTTTGTACAATGAGAATTACACACTTTGGGTTTTATTACTCCCACAGTTCTTATTACTTTTTTTTGAAGAGAGTAAAAACCAAATGTGACATAACAGAACAGAGTCAGTCGAATCAAAAGGATGGACATAATACATAATGTAAAAACAAAATAACAAGGTGATCAAAAATGGTTACCATAATGCCTCTTGCTATCTTAAAAAGAATTGCCTATATCATTAGTTATAATAAAATTGAACAAAACAGTAAAGAACAAAACCAATAAAACGAAAACATTGGAGACATTACAGGGCTTCAGAAGAAGATAATCAACCAGAATGGGCATCATAATGAATCTTATTGTCTTCACAGTTGTTGCCTATACTTTCAAACTTGGTACTATCAAACAAAACATAATAGAGGAAAATCAGTCAAAACAAGATGGTGAGAGCAATACAGGGTTTCAAATCAAGTTAATAGGAAATCAAAGTGGGTTACTATAATGTATCCTGCCATTTTTTATTTTCCCTTAATTAAAAGGATTAAAAATAAAAAAGTAAATAATAAAGGAGATTGAGATAAAAGAGGGCATAACAACAAAACAGCACAGGTCAAAACAGAACCATTTAAGCAAAATAGTGTTTCACCACAAGATAATCCCTACATAAAAGCAGTTACCATAGTGTCTCTTTCCTTGAAATCTTTGAGTATAACTTCGTATACTGTAGCATCAAACATATCAAGACAATGTAAAACCGTTCAAGGGAATGACAGTATCACAAGGTATTCAGAACCAACTAACAGAAAATGAACAATGGTTTCTGTATAATCTCCTTGTCTATAAAAGTTTTTGTTTATATTATCACATATAATAAAATCCAATAAAATACAACATGTTAAGACTGATGAAGATGAAGACAGAAGAACAAAAGCTTGATGGGACTTCAAAACAATATGATATTAAATCAGCACTAGCTATTATGATGTCTTGTTTTCTCCAAAATAACTGTTCCTACCATCCAACCTTCTCTGCCTCATTTCTGTTGAGCTCTTTTTCTTCATTAGTTGTCAGTTTATCTCCTTCATTTCGCTTTCTGCTCCATTCATTGTGGCCTCTCTGCCACTGTTTCTGGAATTTTGGTATTTTTTTTAGAATATCCTGCAATAATCTCTGTAGAGTTGAATTGGTGGTTGCAAATTCCCCTAGTTCCTCTTTATCCTGGAAGCACCTTGTTTTTCCATCAATTTCTAGGGACAGTTGTGCAGGATATATCAATCTTGGCTGGAGGTTATTATCTTTCAAAGCTTGAAGTATTTCCCCCCATGCTCTTCATGATTTGACAGTTTATGCTGAGAAGTCTGCTGTAATTCTGATGGATGTTCCCTTGTAAGTGATCTGTTTCTTGTCTCTGATGGCTTTTAATATTCTGTTCTTATACTGGATTTCTGGAATTTTGATTAATTATATACCTAGGTGTAGTTCTGTTTGGGTTGTAGGTGGCTGGGGTCCTGTATGCCTCATATATCTAAGTATATTTACCTTTTGCTAAATTAGGGAAATTCTCCTGAATTATTTCTGTGAATAGCTTTTGTAGTTCATTTGTTTGTGTCCCTACTTCTTCTTTTATGTTCTGAATTCTTAAGTTATAGATCCTCTTATCATCTTCTAACCTTTGTATTGTTGCTGTTTGCTTCCTTGTTATTTTTAAGAAATTTTTCATTTCATGCTCCCACATTACAAACCTGTCCTCCAGTTCAGATAATCTATCCTTAGTTTCTTTTAAGCTGTTATGCCAGCTTTCAATAGAGTTTTTAGTTTCCTGGTAATCTCTTTGAACCTGCTTCACATATTCTGTTTTCTCTATTTTCTCCATCAAACAATTTTCCCGTTTTTTTCTGTTCTTCCATTCCACCATCTGTTTTTTCTTGGGCAATGCTTAGCATTTCTCTAACTATTCTACTTATATCTTGCTTTATTTCATTAAATACTTCACTTTTGAACTCGTCTATGAGGCTCCAGAGATATCACTTTATGTCTATTGGTACCATGTCTGATATTGCATGTTTTCTGTCCTCATTCTCCTTTGCATTTACCTTTCCTAGATCAGTGTTCTCAGGATTGGGGACTGAAGACCCTTTCTTGTTGCTCCCTCATCCCATACTTTTTGTTCCTTCCATACAAGCATATATAGGAGGCCCAGTTTTTTTGTCAGTTACAGTTTGTTTGAAAATTGTGCCAGCTAGGTGTTCCCACCCACTGCAGGGTACTAGGGAGACACAGACCTGGGCAGCATCTGCTGGGCCTGCCCCTCCAGGTCAACCTACTGAAGGCTTCACTGCTAGGGTGCACTGCCAGGCACTGGGACCTGGTTTGGGCTAGGCTACTGGATCTTAATCCAAGGTGTCACCCAGGCCAAGTGCTCCCCACCAATCCTGCTTGAGAGGGGAATATGCAACTAAAGTCACTGCAGCCTCCTGTTCCAGCTAGTCTTCCCAGTCCCAGAATGACCTCTGTTGGAGCCTCCTAGTCTATGGAAGGGTCCCTGTTCCTCTCACTCACCGCAGGTCAATGCAGGGCTCCCCGCCAGTCACGCTGTCAACTCCATTCACCAATTTCCACTCTCAGAGCTTTCACATGTCTCTCTCCCTGCTGTACCAATTCAGATGCAGCGGCTGCGGCAGGAAATTCAAATTGCAGCTTCCAGTGGTGCAGGTTCCAGCTTCTACGCTGAGATTTTATCTGTTCTGGTTATAGCACTGGGATTGCATTTCCAGTTGGTTTCTCTCAGCTTAGTTCATTCTTGGGTCAGCAGGGTGTATCTCCCCTTGCTTAGGATTCCTCACACTGCTCCTTCCTGGATTCTAAGCTGGCTATCTCAGAGAGCCTCCATAGCTGCTGTTATCTGTCTGCCATATTCTCGCAGAAGTAGTAGTCCAAATTTAAAAGCGATGTTTTTTTCTCACAGTGGCAATGTTTGTCTTATCAGCAAAGGTTAAGGTATACGCAGTATCTTCATTTAACATCTTGGAATGTAATGTATCAAAATATGTTCAGGGACTATGTGTATATGTCCAGCTCAGGCTTTATAAAAGTTTTCAAAAGACCAAGGCTCTTAATTTATGCAGAAATTAGATCAATGGTGAATGTTTTCCTAGTGTCTGTTGAAAATTTTTTACTTCAGAAATCACAATTGAGTAAAATGGAGGCAGATATTAGACTTTCACCAATAGAATTTGATTATTTTTTCCCAATATACTTCATTTGAAGTAGCAGAAGATTTTCTCCTGAATAAAATCAGTATAGGAACTCATTTGGAAAATACTTAATGAATAAATATTAATAGTATCATTTTTAGTCAGTATAGAGACACAGAAAAATAGGCACTTTGTATTTTATAAGAATTTTTACTTAAGTGAATAACAATATTACCCTTCCATAAGCCCAGAGATTAACAACATCTCTCATTGCTTGGGAACAGCAAACATAATAAAAAGGCCATGGGTAAGCTCATATTATGTGTGTGGTTTCTGGAGCCATCAGAAAGGACACTAGCAATGTGTCCTTTCTGCCTCTACTGACTCCTTGCTTGTCCTCTTCTGTCTTCTAGGCTGCCCCATCAAAGGTCACCCCATGCCCAACATCACCTGGCTCCACCGTGGTCAGCCAATCACCACTGCCACAGGACTGACACATCACATCTTAGCAGCTGGACAGATCCTGCAGGTTGCAAATCTCAGTGTTGGGTCCCAAGGAGAATTCAGTTGCCTCGCTCAGAATGAAGCAGGGTTGCTCACACAGAAGGCATCGTTAGTGATCCAAGGTAAGAAGCCCCACAGGCTTCGGGAATTAAGACTTAATTTTGAATGAGTTCCTACCTGGGGATCTAATTCTATAGTGAAACAAGGTGATTTCTGATTTCCAGTGCTATTCAGGCCCTAGAAACAGTGCTGAACCCTGTTTCCAGGCAGTGAGACCTCCTTCTCCAACATGCACAGCTTTTCAGGAGCACTCCCAGACCCCGTCCCAGCTGAACTTGCAAAAGCCAGTGCTGCCTTGTACACGGGCTCTTCTGCTCGTACTGTTCCTGTTGCTCAGGATCAAGTATCCACACAGTTTATCAAAGTGGGATTTTTTTTTTTTTTTTTTTTGCTGGTTTAACTACCATAGGACAAGTCATGAACATACATAGTAGCCTTTTTAAAATGCAAGCTTTTGCTAGTAGGTCAGTTTTTTAAAAATTGAATATAGTGGCTTATAATCCCAGCACCAGGGAAGTTGGAGCAAGAGGATTTTCAGGAGTTGAAGGCCAGCCTGAGCTCTGCAGGGAGTTTAAGGCCAGTGCAAACTACATACTGAGACTCACTCTCTTAAAAAAAAATAATAAACTTCTTATTTGTAATGGTTTGTATCTTTCTACACTGCCTTCCTAGAAGGATGAGCTGTTATGGTGCTGGCCTAGTGTCTGAAGAGTCCTCGGTTACAGTCATTTGCTGAGGGCTTTCCAGGCAACTTTCCTTCGGCCCTGGCAAAGAACAAGCCGAGAACCCCTGTGCCTTCCTGGAACACAGGCAGGTCAGAAAGCCGAGGGGCAGGGCCTGGCGTGCACTACACCAGAAAGGGTTGTGAATGAGCCCAAAGCAGCGGGAAGAGAGCCCAAACTGGCCCTTTTTACAGAAACTAGGGAAAGCTTCTGAGTTTCCCATAGGCTAGTTCTGTGACTCTTTTAAGGAAAGTAAAATTCTACTGCCTATATCCCCAAATAGAGGATTCTGTGGGAGGTTCCAGAATTTTGTGCCTCTATTAGATGAGAGGAGGGAGGCAGGAAAGAGATTTTTCTGAGTGCGTAGATTTTCCTCTGAAGTATTCTCCCCTGTCATTTGGCTCTCCAGACAGGAAAACAAATGTTTCATTGTCTTGCCAGCCAGCTATTCTCCTGGAAACCAGAATACAGCGCCCATCTGTAATCTTTATAATACACAAGTACTTGCAAATAAGCACCTAAACTTTACTGGCCACATTTATTTTTAACAGCTTTTTTTACCGTGAGTCCCAGACCCCCAGAGAAATCTGCTTTTTCACTGACATCATGGTCTCACATAAATGAGAACTCTCTGGCTAGGCTGTTCCTGGTAACATTTACAAAATGAATTTATGCTTTTAAATATGATTCGATTTCTGATATATTTATACCTCTCTATAGACAAATAAAGTCACTTTCTGGTAAATGAACAAGAAAAAGGTACTTTAGCAAGTATGGTTAAAAGTAATGAGAGCTTTGGGTGTTGAGCATTCTCACCGTCTGCCCTGAGCGGCCCTTCACTTTCATTCTGTTCAGGCCCCACTGGGATTGATGAGATGAGGGCTGGCACTGTCATCCTGTGCTCCAGGAGGCCCCAGGCCTTGCCCAAAGGGGTTGGCAGGGCCTCATTTATAGTGATGCCTTTCCCTCAGCCACACGCCCTCTCCACACCCGCTGTGGTCCTCTCCCCCTCCCCTGCACAGAAGGAATAGAGAATGGGTAATAATGCGTCTTCTTTCCCCCCCCCGACCCTCCCCTGGGACAGATTACTGGTGGTCTGTGGACAGACTGGTCACCTGCTCGGCGTCTTGTGGTAACAGAGGGGTTCAGCAGCCTCGTCTCAGGTGTCTGCTGAACAACACAGAGGTTGACCCCGAGCACTGTTCCGGGAAGGTCCGCCCTGCTGTGCAGCCCGTCGCCTGCAACCGGAGGGACTGTCCTTCTCGGTGAGTGCCACCTCCCTGCTCCCGAGGGAGGGCCCTGACGCTTAGCCGAGGGGATGGCAGCGCTGTGCGGGGAGATGCTACCAGTGCTCAGTGTGGCCCTTCAGACCTCTCTGCGTGCTGAAAACGTTCTCTTCTTGGCTCTTTATTCCCTCCCTGTTCCGCTGGCTAATGGCTGCCTGGCCTTTCCAGTGCCTGAGAGGCTGTGGTCTATTCAGAAAGCAAGGGCATCGCAGGCGTGGGCCAGAGATACCTCCCATCCTGCAGTAATAATCTGCCCCTCTGGGTTGTTTGTGAGAGAAAGAAGTGCTTCCATTGAAGTGCTGAGAGGGCAGTTAGTGGACTGTACCTAAATCCTCTCATTGTGCCTAACTTTAAATGCTGGTCCACACAGTACTGCAGTTTAGTTGAGGAGATACTATGTCCTTTGCTACAATTGTTGTCTGTCACTAAAGTTGGACTAAGTCCCCATTTTCTACAATACCTTAGCTTTGGATATGCATCCTCTGCCTTTGGGAGCCTTATTTCACCTGCATGACAATCAAAATCTCCGTCTCTAAGATCTTCTTCCTGCTTGGAGAAGCGGAGTCCCACTGAGCTTGTCCCCTCTCCGGCCCCCACCCCCCACCAGCCCTTAGGCAGGAGCTAATGGATAATGGATGGCCCTGGAACTGGCATCAGCGTGGTGCTCTGAGACTGGGGAGACTTGGCTCAGCCCTGAAGTGCCCCTTCGCAACCTATCTGTAGGACTTCCATACGCTACTCAGGCAGCCACTTTGTGTTTTGCCAGCTGAGTCCGAGGAGCAGCTGAAACCAGGAGACGGCGTGAAATATGAAACACATTCATTAATATCAGCAGTTTGACTTGCTGACAGGGAGGTTTCCATGGGAATGATTAATGTCCTTTTATAACTTTCCTGAATGACAACACAGCCCCACACCTCTCCTTTCTCAAACCCCACCCCAGCTCCTGAAAAAAAAAAAAATCACTGAAATGTATATTTAAAAGTAAATTGATTGAATGCAGTTCTGACACTCACCATCGATACGAGAGACTAGACAGCCCTTGCCAAGCCACGTGAAATGAAGAAGAACTCGGTGACGTGCCAGGAACTTTTTGATTCAATTTGGTGATGGTCAGAGTCAATCAGCCTAATTTACCTCTGCAAATGAAATAATAATGGCAATGTCTTCTTCAGTTTCAATACCCCCAGGGGTTTTAAAACACCTCCTGCCTGCTCCCTAAGTGGCTCTGCTCTTGTGGGTTGCTGCAGGGCAAAGGAGCAGGGAAATTGCCACAAAACTAAATAAGTCACAGACCCAGGGGCAGGAGGAATTTGCTCCCTTCCCGCTAGGGGCCTCTTCTGAAAGCCACATGTGGCAGCCCTTAGCTGGGAAGCAGCCATGGCTTCACCTTTGCTAGATTTGCCTGCCTGGCTTCTTGGGCATGCTAGGGTCCTTCTTTCTAAGCTTCCTGACAATCTTTCTAAATAGATTAGCTCTTTCAATCATATTAGATAAGCACTCCCCACCCGCTTAGGCAATAAAACCAGTGTTTCATTTTTTATTTTCCTATAATACATGAAATGGCTGAGAAGGACTACTTTCCTCATGACTTTCCTGAAACTATCCCCTCCCCACCTCTGAGAATTACTCCGGGGTACACAGAGGAAACAAGAACTCTGATATCCTTGTATATGGACCAAGAACCTCACTGTATCCCCCGGTTATGCCTCAGCTTTATGAGAAAAGCCCTTTGGTCGTAGTCCTGTTAAATCTCACTTCTGGAGACAAATATTTTTCTCACATATGTAACTCTCTAAGATATATAAACTTAAAAGACTAATTCATGCATGTGGAAAATTGCCTCAGGAACTGAAAGGAACTTTCTATGTTTCTGAAAGATTAAATAAACCAAACTGAACATAGGTCAAGGTAAAATAAAGTACAAAATATTACCAAAGCTTTAAGTGAGACCCAGGTTGTAGGCTCAGATCTGACTTCCTGGAAAGCTGTCCCTGCTCTCATACTAGAAAGCACCAGCACCAAGGCACAGCACACACACACACACACACACACACTGTCTGCAGAGCAGTAATCTCATAGCCTTTGGGCAGCTAAGGCAACTGACCCTTACAATACTCCTTTAGGATTTACTTCTCTGGTCAGTGTCCAAAGGGTATCAGTTTCCTGAGGCTGCCATTACAAATCACCACAAACAGCAGCTTAAAATGACAAAAGTTCATTCTCTCATCACGTTGAAGGTCAGAAGTAAATACAGCAAGGGCTCAGCAGGACCGCGCCCCCTGCCGAGGCCACCAGAGACGATCTGTTCCTTTGCCCTTCCATTTTCAGGGCCTCCAAATGTTCCTCGGCTTGTGTACAACTGTACCCCTACTCTTTGGTCACCGCTCCTCTGAGTGTGTGTTTCTTTCTCTCTCTCTCTCTCTCTCTCTCTCTCTCTCTCTCTCTCTCTCTCTCTCTCTCTCTCTCTCTGCCTTTCTCTATAAGAACATTTCTTTTGATGGCATCAAGTTCAACCTACATAATCTCATCTCACAATCCTTTACTATGACTCCAAAGACCATTTTTCAAATAAAACAACACAGACTTGGGCTCTGACATACCTTTTGGGGGAGCTGTTCATTGCCCCACCTTAGCATCTCTGTGGTGACAGGGAAGTCCAAGGCTCCTTTCCCCAACACCCCTCCAGGGTCCCCCTGACACTTGTACCACCCCGCAGGTGGATGGTGACTTCCTGGTCCGCCTGTACCCGGAGCTGTGGTGGTGGCATCCAGACCCGCCGGGTGACCTGCCAGAAGCTGAAGGCCTCGGGGTTCTCCACCCCTGTGTCCAATGACTTGTGCATCCAGCATGCCAAACGCCCTGTGGACACCCAAGCCTGTAACCAACAGCTGTGTGTGGAGTGGGCCTTCTCCAGTTGGGGCCAGGTAAGGGGTCAGGAGGTTTCTATTTGAAAAGTGAATCTGAAGGTGTACACTGTGCCACCATCGGAAGTCAGATGCCACCACTGCCACCTCTTCTGTGACGACTGAATTTTCACATCCCCCTCTGTCACTAACCTCACCAGTATCATTCTAGAAGCCAGGATTCCTGATACTTTTCTCCAACATTAACACCCCAGGTACAATTTTTTTCTTTGAATTTCCCTCCACCCTGAGGCTTCCAGCTCTCTGGTCCTCCATGACCCCTCAGATACCCTCCTCAGCTTTACAGTCCTTTGAGACACTGCTTCTCACTGGCTGTGATGTGGATGAGGAGATCTGTGCAGGTCCTGCAGTGTTACCTGGGTCAGGGGCTTTCAAGGAGTTCCATACATTCCCTGAGGAAACTTCCTTAAACAGCCCATGTGCAGACTGTACCTCCCAGAGAGTAAAGTCAGTCAGTGGCTCTGGGGTGTGAATCAAGCATGGGTAATTTTTAAAACTTACCAAGCTGATTCTGATGTTTGGCCAGGATAGAGACTCAGTGTTCCATGCTAGGAAAGGTGGAGGGCTAACCAAATCACTCTGAAGCCAATTCCTTTCTTGCTTATAATCCTAGAGGCTAACATCAGAAGTCCCAGGTAAGACCAGCAAACAACAGGAGAGAGAATCACTTGACCCCAGGAGCCCAGGGATGGGGCCCCCTCTGGATATAGTGGAGGAACCACAATAATTCTCTCCATTTGGAGAGGAAAATCCATGGTTGGTTATGATTTGAAAAAGGGGAACCAACACAAAATGCAGAGTGGGAATGGTGGTTGATCAAACTGAGCAGTGACAGATACCACGTCATGATAGCAGCTTCCCAGGGCATGGAGGGGTCACTGCTGTGTCCTCATCATGTCTGAACCAAGTAGGACTGAGCACCGGTCAGGAATCATCATGTCACCAGATGGGGTTCAAGGAAGTCAGTCTCCCCCAGGGAGGAAAATAGGGACCTCAACTCTCCCCTGGCAGATTCTTGGCTCATCATGGAAAAGCATTTGAAGATGCACCTGTAAGAGACACAGGCAGATTTATTAACAGAATCAAAGTACACACAGGAAAGAATGAGGGGCTTGATGGGTAAGATGTGCTATGGTATGGTCTGGAGTTGGGGGTAGATGTGTGATTCATGGGGTATCTTCAAGATGGATGATCTGGGATGTTTATATTTTGAATTATTTATTGTAGACATAGTATCTGTCAGGTTATCCCATTAGTGAACTAAAGCAAAAACTATCAGTTAAGTTATCATGCAGACCATTTGCCTGTGTTTGAATCTGAGAGATATGGCATCCAGTTCATACTGCTGTTCTGTGGAACATGTGCCAAATGTGTGGACCCTTAGGAATTTGGGAGGAGTCTAGAAGGAAAAATAGGCCTACAGGTGAACCTTGGTTAACTTTGATTATGTCTTGAGCCACAATTTTCTCAAAATTATTTTTTTCTCCTTTCTACCAATATTTCTTGTATCATTCTCAATTAGAGGCTTAGGTTTTCCCCAGTAGATAAAGATTCGATTAAACATAGAACCGTTGCCCTACATAAATCATGCCTCTATCACTTTAGAAGTTGACACCAACGTAAATCAGGTGTAGTACTACTGAGGTCAGTGACATAACTGCCCATAAGGCTTCTCTGAAAGTGTACATTCAGAACCTCCCCAAATCCTACCAGACATGTAAGAACTGCCTGCCAGGCTGCTTAGGGTCATACCCACCCATGAAGCGGTAACATCTACAAGGTATGATCAAAAATTATGAATGTTTCAATTTTTCAAAATTATTAAGAGTAGGGTCTGGGGATTTAGCTCAGTGGCACAAGTGCCTGCCTGGCATATGCAAGGTCATGAGTTCAATCCCCAGTACAAAAAACAGGTTATTAGAGTAAGAAACACATGGCCTGAATCCTCCTCAAAAGATTCCCCCTCACTTCAAATATACTCATCCCATTATCCTTAGTGCTTTCTGAAGCAGTTCTGAGTGAGACTGGATTCACTGCTTCCTGGCAAATTTACTTTGAGCTTATAGAAATGCTGCTGATGTTTGTATGTTGATTTTGTATCTTACTATGTTACTTAAAATTTCATACACCACTGACTGTAAGAGAAATTGGCAAAGCACGCTGGAAACCTGTTTGACAGTAATCACTTACATGTAAAAATATCCACACTCATTTCTACATCTATGTGATATAATAGAAAAATACAGAAATGTTTTAATTTTTTTAATTTATTACAGAAAAAGACACATTGCCACGGATCTCTCTCAGAATACTCCTCACTTGGAACACACTTAGTCCAGGATTCTTGGCACCTTTTTATTTTGAAGAGAAAGAACAAGCAAAACATTGATACAAAATTTCAAAACAAGACAATAGGAGAAAAGCAATGGTTGATACATTGTATACTGTTATTTTCAAAGCAGTTGCTCTGATTACAACCTGTGGGCATGAAAAATGGATCAAACAATACAGCAAGCCTTTCTTTTCAATGAACTAATAGAAATTAGGATAACTGTCCTATCTTACAGATTTTTTTCCTGTTCCCTACATTCTTTTCTCCTTTCCTCTATCCCAGTTTCTCCTACCTTTTGAATACTTTCTTCTCATTTCACAATATCTATTGTACATTTTGGATCTTATTTACTCATTCAGCTTCTTATGCTAGACAGGTAATACAGTATTTGCCCATGCAAGTCTGATTTATTTCACTTGAGTATGGTCTCAAGTTGCATCCATTTAACTATTAAAAAAAAAAAAAAAAACCTTGTTTATCCTTCTTTATCGCTGAGTAGTACTCCATTGCATAGAAAAATCACATCTTTTTATCTATTCCTTGGTTGATAGGCATGTGGGTTGTTTACAAGATTTGGCTATTACAAATTGTGCTGCTATACACATGGGTGCATATGTATCACTGTGGTATGATGTTTTCAATTCTTCTGGGAATATACCCAGAAATGGAATAGCTGGGTCAAATGGACTTTCAATCCTAGCTTTTTGAGGAACCTCTAGACTGACCTCCACAGTGGTTGCACCAGTCTACACTCCCACCAATAGCATAGAAGGGTTTTTTCCCACATCCTCACCAGCATTTGTTATTGGTTTCTTGATGATAGCGATTCTTTCTCAGATGAGATGGAAACTCAATGTTGTTTAATTTTCATTTCTCAAATGACCAATGTTATTGAACATTGGTCATGTATTTGTTTTTCATATATTTGTCATTTATATTTCATCTGAGAAGTATATTTCATCTTAGATGCTCATTTTTAAATTGTGCCTTTGAATTTTGGGGTCTCATATTCAACTCTATGTGTTCTAAGTTCAGGGAGGGAAGATTGGCTAAGATTTTTTCCTACTCGATGAGTTTTCTTTTCACTCTGTTGTTGATTTCTTTTGATGTTCAAAAGCTTTTCAATGCAATTGAGATCCCAGTTGCTGATTCTTTCAAGTGTTCCTGTGCAATCTGGGTTTTGCACAGGAACTCTGCCTACTCATATGTCTTCAAGATTTCTACATAATTTCTCTTCCAGTACATTTAATGTTTCTGCTTTAATATTTAGATCTTTGATCCATTTTGACTTTAGTGCATGGTGATAGACATGTGTCTAGTTTTAGTGGTTAGTGTGTAGAGAGGCAATTTTTCCAACACTATTTATTAAAGAGGAAATCTTTCTTACAGTGAACATATTTAGCCCTTCAAAAACAAGGTGACTGAGTGTGTTTCTAGCTGTCTGTATCTTCTAATCTGTTCCATTGATCTGCAGGTCTGGTTTGTTTTGTTTTGTTTTGTTTTTCTGCTTGTATTGTGCTGATTTAATCACAATAGCTTTATAGTATAATTTCAAATCAGGGATTGTGACACCCCTTGTCTTGCTTTTTTGTTCCAAGAATTCCTTTTGCTAGTCTAGGTCTTCTCTGGTTCCAAATGAATTTTAGGGCTATTTTCTCTAGATCTGTGAGGTATGCTGATGGTGTTTTGATTGGAATTGCATTAAATTGGTACAACAATTTTGTGAGTATAGTCATTTTCATTATGTTGCTTCTTACTGTCCAACAGCAATGGAAATCTTTCCATTTTCTGATATTCTCTTCAATCTCCTTTTTGAGAGCACTGTAATTTTCACTACATAGATCTTTTACTTCCTTTGGTAGATTGATTCCTACGTATTTCATTTTGGAGGGATGCTATTGTGAAGGGTGTGGTTTCTCTTATTTCTCACTCAGTGAGTTTGTGCTTTGTGTACAGGAATGCTATTGAGTTTTGAGTGTTGACTTTGTATCCAGCTACATTACTGTATTTGGTCATTACATCTAGAAGTCTTTCAATGGATTTTTTGGAGTCTTCTATGTAGAGTACCATGTCATCTGCAAATAATGATAGTTTAACTTCTTCCTTTCCTATCCTTATTCCTTTTGTCTCTCTTGTCTACTTGCTCTGGCTAAGGTTTCCAGCACTCTATTGAATAGGAGTGGTGATAATGGACATTCTTGTCTTGTTCCTAATTTTAGAGTGAAGGCTTTATGTTTTTCACCATTTAATATGATGCTGGCTGTTGATTTGTCATAGGTGGCTTCTATCAGATTAAAGTTAAGACCATCTATTCCAGTTTTCCATAGGGTTCTAATCATGAATGAATGTTTGACTTTATCGAAAGCTTATTAGGCATCTATCGAAATGATCATGTGATTCTTTTCCTTGGCTCTATTAATACAATGTGTCACGTTTATTGATTTACATATGTTGAACCATTCCTGCACTGCTGGGATGAATCCCACCTGGTCATGGTGTATAATCTTCTTGATGACTTGCTGTATTCTGTTTGCCAGTATTTCATTGAGGATTTTTGCCTCAATGTTCATTAGGGAGATGGGTCTGTGCTGTCTTTTTTGATTGGGTCATTCTATGGTTTTGGTATTAGGGAATACTTACTTCCAGGAATGAGTTAAGGAGAATTACT